ATATGTCCTCTAGTTACTAGAACTAAGTTAATAGTACTTCTGATCTACTTTGTTCCTTTCTGGGCAGGCAATTCAGCTGCCAAAGCCTTAGTCCATTACTTATTTATTCCCAGAGATGCTCCTGCTTTTTGAGTTGAGGAAGAAGTTAGTTCTTTTGGAGAAAACCTCATTATGCTGTCGTCAAGTGGGTAGTCTTTGGGGTCAAATATACCTGTGTTCAGATCCTAGCTCTGTCATCTTGGCCCTGTACTCTTAAATAAGTATTTATCTGTAAGTGGTGATAATAGTGCATTTATCTTTTAGAGCCGATTTGTTACAAGAGAGTGCATATATAAAGCATCTAGTATAGTTTTTGGCCCATAATAAATACCCAGTAAATACTGCCTTCCATTTGGTACTTAATTGTATACCTACAGGTTGACCAGACAAAATTTATCTTTTATCTTTTGGGGATTATATAGCCTGAAGTTAGTAACCATTAGCATGTTTTCATGTGTTTGTAGGAATATGGAACTATAGTATACTTAATGCCATGGAATTTAAGTAGCCTCCTTTTTTTTTTTGATGACTAGGAAATCTGGGCATTTTTAATAATTTGACTTTTGTGTGATTAAAAAAAAATTCTGTGGCAAATAGATTCTGAATAAACAAATCAGCCAACATTATTTTATTTTGGATATGCCTGTACTTTTATTAATGTTAGATTTGAGAGAAAGGATTAAGATATGCATTCTTATATAGGACTAAGGAAAAATACAAAAATATTTTGAAGATTGATATATTCCAGATATACTTGTAGATACCATTTTATATTGAAACCAGAATAAAAAATTAGGCTTTATATTTTCTAATTATGTCTCCACACCTATTCTCAAAACCAAATTAATCCACATACAATTGAATATAAATTTAGAGAAATGGGAAATGAGATTTTATTTTTAATTAGATTTTTTTCATGATTTGATATGGCTAGTGAAATTGGATAAGTTGATGTTTCAGTGTTTTTCTCTCAGTCTTCTAAGCTTGAAAATATGACATCCTAACCCAGATCGTTATTTCCAACGTCCAAACATCAAGTCTGAGTACCAGTCCTTGCCTGTCTCTAAAGTCTAAAAGTGGGGGAATCATTTTTTCAGGCTGTTTCTTCATCTACTGTGGTAACTTTAAGTTGCCAGGTATAGTTATTTCATTAACTGAATATGAGTATACCCCTAGTTTGATTTATATGTGTGACATATCAATGTAATAATTTGTTGTCGTATACCTTTGGAGTGGAAGCTTCCTTGTGTGGTAATTCTTATAGTCATAGATGATTTCAGTTTGTGCTGAACTAGGAATCAGAAGATGCATGTGGTCATCTCAGCTTGTGTTGCCTGAGATGCTTCTCTTTGCCCTCTCTGGGTCTCTATTTTCTCAGTAAAAGTGTTCATCTTCTCTGTGCAGAAGATTGCATGGCTCAAATGAGGTGAAGTAGGTGAAAACACTTTGGATACTCAAGCATGGTAGAGATATAACGTGGTGGTATATTTCTAATTCAGGTAATAAAGAAAAACAAATGGGCACTAGGGAGTAAGATTTTGCTTAAAGTAAAAGTTGCAAGCTAACTAAAGAAAATAACTCAAACATCATTTTTTTCCTGTATTTTGCTACCAACCAGAATCGGGACCAGTATTCACATCTGCTAAGTGATCAGTCTCTGCCATACCAAGGTCACAATTCCTTCCGTGAGAAATATTTCAGTGGAGTAACAAAAAGAATTGCAAAGGAAGAAAAACCTAGCCAAGAGTGAAAATTAAGGTTTTTGACAATGGAGAAAGAATAAGGATTTGATAAAAAGAAAAAAAAAAAAAGAAAAAAGACATCTGGATGTGAACTTTGATGTACGATACAGAAAACATGTACTGTTTTAAATAATTTTATGTAACAAATGTTACAAAGTAAATTGAACAATTCTTTTAAAATTTAGCTTTGTTTTATAGACTACTTTGTTATATGTGGTTTTTGACCTTATTTAATTTATATTTGTACTTTCAAGTATTATGGAAATTGAAAACAGTGATATTTTTGGTAATTAACTTACAAAGGGAACTAATATTCTTGAATCTTTAAACAGATATCTGCTGGATATATTATAGGCAGTTAATAGTGAATTTATTCATTAGGTAGATTTGTTTAATTTGATTTTTCATCATAATTGATTTACATTGTAACTAATAAAGCTTATTGAGGATTCTTAAAATTGTGTATTATTCAGTGCTTTTCAAGAGACATATGAAGGAAATGAATTTTTATTTACAAATGCCAAACAAGTAAGTCATGACGATGATAATAGTGATGATGAGAAAGGCTAGGACCTGACAACCTAAAAAGCCTCCACACTCCTCGAGGCCTGTCCACATCTGAAGCTCGTCTGTACCTTGGATTTGCTCCTGCATTCCTAAACTTTGACTGTCGGTCAAGTTAACTACCCACAATTTTTGGTTTAGAAAGTAACTGATAGTTAAAAGCGGTAACAACAACACAAATCCTTGATGGTTTCCTAATGGTATTAAGCCTAATCAGAGCTCTTTGAAATAGAAGCTATATTTTTCTTGAAGGAGAAACTTTGCTGAGTCCACATTGTGTCCATCATGAAAATATCTTGTTTGAAAACCACTACACCCATTACTTCAGGATGCTAATAGCTTTCCTGCTCTCAGTGGTCAAATGTACCTCAGCAGGCGGCAGTAAACGAATCCCCTCTCTCTAACCAGAGCCTATTTTTATTTATGTCGTTATTATTATCTTAGTGTTACTGCTGGCTTTTATTGACTCACAGCTTGAATATGCATGGCTTAGGACCTCCAAAAGACCAGCAGTACCCAAGCAGAGAGAGAGCAGGCCTTCTGCTGAGTTCTCTCTCCTTTTCTTGTAGCTCTGAATTTCAACAGCAGATCTCAAACATTTCAGTGATTGTTTGGGTTTCTGGATGTGATTTGTAGTACGCTGGGGAAAATCTAGAAGTATTCAAGGATGATTTATTTTCGTATTTCTGTTATAAACCATCTTATTTAAAAGTTTTTGAGGTTATATCGGGGGGTGAGTTTGAGTTGACTAAATTTGGAATTAGAGATTTTAGCCTTGTACCATTTTTCTGTTGTAACAAAAATTAGTCCAAGTAGTTCTGGAAGCATTGCAACATTAATTTTAGTCACTTTAACTTTAAAAAACTATCCAACATTAAAAAAATTTTCAAATTTTTATTACCACTGATTGAGGTCTTCTAATCTTTGGTTCTTCATGATCGTGAGGTTTATTTTCATATTTATCAGTAAACTAGGTCTCCCAATCGTGAAATGCCACAAGGCTCAGAGCATGAATTTGTGTAATTATTTTAAAATTGGTACTCAACCAATTTTGATTTTAGAGTAGAGGTCTCAAGTCCTCTTATTTTAAAAAAGACTTTGTTTCTGGCATCAGGATATTATTACTTTCTGCATAAGTTATAGCAAATCACTTCCAGGATTGCTTTAGTTTTATGTGTGTTCTTTATATATTTCCAACAGCAAGAATATCACCTAGCAAAATGTCTGCATTTTGGATAGTCCTCTTACGAATTTATGGTATAATCTGTGAGTGAACCCTAGGTGGTCTGTGGGCTGGCCTATTTAATGTTTATAATATGACAAAATCTGTAATTTTCTTTCTGGTATGTATTAAATATTCATAAAATCCAGACGGTTACCTTGGTGGTGTTTCATCAGAAGCAACCTCCTTTCCATCCTTACTAGACAAAGATTTTTTTGCTGTGATAGCTGGAAGGGAATAATGGAGTAGGTGGTCTTTGGTGTGTTTAGCCAAAGTGGCCAGCAGATTTTAAAAAGTTTAAAATCTGCTGCAAATTTCTCAGCCACTTCCTGCCCGGAGTGACCCAGGTTTGGTGCAGCTTACCACTAACTTCCTTATGAGTAATTCTTTAAATACTAAGATTGAGCAATAAAACATTTTCAAACTGTTTAAACTCTGGGAGGTAAGTCAGTAAGTCAGCATTACCGCTATTTTCTTGTGGAGGAAACTCACTTAAAATTTGAGATTCCCTGCATATTAAGGCAGAGTGGTATTACAACTAAAAAGAACCTTATTTCAAGTTTGGTAGGGGAAAGTAGAGTGTGGGTTAACATACCAGATGCATTGTAGTGAATGTGTTTATATTATTGGATGAAAAATGTGCCTTAAAAGTTTGAGACGTAGAAACAGCTTTCGAAGTAATATGTTTTATACTCTTGTTATAATTAAATTAAAGAAGCAGGGATTTGACTATTTTTTAACATCAGGAAATTGGATGTTAAGGTTGTGTTATCTGGATGCCAGCATAAGCAAATTCGGCTCTTGAATCAAAGGCCTCAGTCGTTTGGGTTAGAAGAACTACTGACACCCTATGCTGCAACTCTTATCAAGTATTGCAAATCCAGAGAGATATGGAATAAAATGTAATGTTTATGTGTTGAAAATTGAAGGTGACATTTTTTGGAGAAATGATCTTTCTACACTATTATAATAAATCTCCCTTGAAAAAACACAGTGGAACTAAGCCGATGTTAATGGTTCTAGTAGAAAAAAATCCTGTGTAGATAAAGCAGAGCATAAATAAACAAATTCATTAATGGAGCATAGGGGTAGAAGTGGACATGGGTGTAGCTGAGAAAATTGATGACCTTATTGTTGATTTTCCTGTTTGACCAAAAGGGAATATTATACCAGAATAAGGACCTTGGCTCTTTTTACAGGAGCATGGTTCTGCTCCATAATAAACTTATTTAGAAAAATAACACTACTAAATCTTTTTTCTTAGAAGGATTGTATTCATAGAATAAGCGAAGTTTACTTTCATTTCCAAATCACCCACTCCCGTTTTTCTGATATTTATCAAGTAATGTGGTTTGTAATCCAAACAAACAAAAAAAAATGCCTTAATCCAGAACATACACATGGACACAATAACACTAGACTGATGATGTTTGTACTTTACAAAAACACTGAGATCTCTAAAATGGAGTGGTTGGAGAACATAAGGTCTAGAGTGTAAAGAATTGTAATGGAATGATAAACATATCTGTGATTCTATCTAGCCATAGAATCATAGAGACAGCACATTCCTGTCTATCCTTTGGGGTGAAAAAGCTTACGAGGGAACCTGACCCTATTCCCTTAAGAGAGGTCTGCCTCAGGATGTTCACATGTTTTACTGTGTGGGATAAGCAAATTGACATTTAGACATAACTGAGGCCAACCTGGAATTTGGCTCTTATCCCTTCCTTCATAAGCCATTGTAGACAGGCTCTTAGGGGGATGGAGGCTAAATTGTCATGGCAGTCTCTTAAGAAGCCTGGGTCATGGAACAAAATGGGGCTTAATAGATGAATGTTAAGATAAGCCAGCTTCACTTTATGTAACTGCTAGCCCTATTTCTTGGGATATTAGGATGTGCTTAGTATATTTTTGTTCTAGAATTTGAATGTTCTTAACTGAGATAATCATATTGCAGTCATGCCAAACTGAATTGCCTAAAAAGGAATCCGCTTTGACCTCTGTGACTTTAAAACCTCTCCTTTAATCAAGCCTTCCTGACTCTCTCCTGAGGGCTTATCGGAAGAACTCTATTTTGTCTGACATCCAGCAGTGAAGATTAGCTGGGCTTATGTGTGAAGTTAGTCAAATTAAAAAAACAAAAAAGGCTGAGAGAAAATTAAAATTGAAAACGTAAATGGTCCTTGAGCTAGGCTTTGATGGGCTGCCCACATATTTTATCTAATATGTTATGAGTCTGTGAAGTGGATCAGGCTGGTCAGAGCTGGTATTGGTGAGCTTTAGCAGTCTGTAAAAGCTCTTTGCTGTTTGTTTGTAAATCATGAGCTGGAGTATCACCACAAGTCCGAGTGCTTCCAGTACAAAGAACAAAACTTCTTTGCGTTATTTCTCTTTTTAAAATTTATACTTGTTGGGAGACATTTCTCCATAGATGTGTTACATTTCTGTATATCTAAGGAGGCACTGACCCCCTTTTTAAAGATGTGTGAGCCCTTTGAAAGATAGAGGTGGTGTCCCCACCTCCTCGTGCCCCCTTCGCTTCTGAAAAACAACTGTTTTTGTCAGCTGTTTTGGGTTCTTGTCAAAACTGAACACCTGAGCCATCTGACCTGATACTTTCATTGTGGAGTGGATCAAAAGATTCATGACTACCAACGTAAGAAGAGCCTAATAACCCTCACTTGTCAGATGGACTTAGTATATTCAAGAATGCAGCTGGCTTAGCGCCAGTGGCATCTTGGATTTACATGAAAAAGTGGCAGCTATCTGTTTGGGGAAAACTTTATCCCACATTCCACTGTCTAAAACAAAGGACTGGCCCAATGATGTCTTTGATTCATAAAGGTTACATTTAGGGGGTTTAAAAATACATTTAGGTTGCATTTAGGAGATTCCTCTAAATGCCCACTGCCTCTTCCACTGATGGATTGGCTAAACTGAAACCCAGGAGTGGTCAATGGGCTGCTATGGCTGTTCTATCTCAGCACCAGGTATACATAACTGAAAATGGATGTGGTTGGCCTGGTCAGTAGGTAGAACTCAAAGCCATTCTGGGCTCCAGCCAGTACCCTTCTTGATGAGCCTTGTTCTATTTTCGCCGACTCTTAGGCTGTTACTAATGACCTACAGTTTTATCTCTCACTTGGAAAATTACAGATTGGCAGATTAAAGACATGCTCTTAGAGTACAAATAGTGGAAACAGATTGTGGCTGCTGACAACTGTCTTGTCATTCTTTGAAGAAACAACTAGAATAAAGCTGTTGGTTGAGCTGGTACCACCCAGGTGGCCATCATTGTTACTTGGATTCATTATTGTCCCAGACACGGCAGCACATCCACCATTACACACAGGACACAGAGTAAAGGACTGTTTCTGATGCAGTTACTATTTAGTGCCAGACTTGTGACTCCTGCCAGAAGTTGACCTGGTTGCTTTGCGGTGAAGGAGACCACATTCCATGAAGTGTCTAGCCTGCTCCTGGCAGATTGATTACTTCGGATCTCCGCCCCCACTCTCAGAGCCCTTGGCTGGGCATTACCACTGTTGACACTTTCTCAGGTTACAGTGTTGCTGTTCCAGTCCAGCCAGTTGACTCCAGCCACACCACTTAGGCTCTTGAAACTAATCCGAGTCACGTGTTTGGCTTTCTGGGCCATTTGTTATGACAATG